GCGGGGAGCGCGGTGCCCGGGGCCGCGGGGAGCGCGGTGCCCGGGGCCGCGGGGAGCGCGGTGCCCGGGGCCGCGGGGAGCGCGGTGCCCGGGGCCGCGGGGAGCGCGGTGCCCGGGGCTTTCCCTCACCCCGCCACCCCGGGCATGCGCCCCGGGGCCGCGCCTCCCTGGCGGCGGAAGTCCCGCCCTGGTGCGGGAGCGGGCCGCGGGTTGGCCTCGGAACGGGTCGCGCACGGCGCGGCCGCCGGTCTCGGTGCCTCGGGGCGGGCGGGGCGGAGCGCTGGCTCCACTTGAGCGCGGCTCCGCCTCCTGCTGCCGCTGCCGGCGGCGCGGGGAGCGGCCGGGAGCCCGGTTCTGGCCCCGGTCCCGCTGGAGCGGCGCCGTGAGGGGTGGGGTGAGGTGAGGCGAGGCGGGGCCGCGATGAGCCGCAGCGAGGGCTCGGGCGGCACCCGCCGCCGCGTCCTGCAGGTGAAGTTCGTGCCCGACGAGGAGGTCCTGAAGCACATCGCCGACGACACAGGTACAGCCGGCCCCGGGCAGCGCCCAGCCCGGTACCGCCCGCCGCTCCCAGGGCGCGGGGAGGGGGGTCTGAGCAGCCGCCGCTGCCCCCGGGAAAGGGGCTCTGCAGCACCCGGGTCGGGCCGCAGCAGGACGAGGCCTCCGGGGTCGAACGACCGCCCTCTCCGCGGTTGGTCCCTGTCCAGCCCGGCACAGGACGGACTGCGGGCGGGGCGGAGCGAGGCTCCGCGTGGTGGGTGCTGTAGGAGAGTTTTGCTGCAGTTCTGACTACTTTTAAGGTTTGGAACCTTTGTGGAGATGCTTCAAAGTTGCCAGTACAAGGCGCAGAGCATCCGAATCAGACACTGCTGGTCCTACTTTGAGCAGAAGGTCAGACACACGGTCTCCAGAGGGGTCACAGCCTAAATTCGCCCACGAGTGTTCTGACAGCCTACAGGCAAGGTATTGTCCACTTGCTCCCCTTCACCATGAAGGATAGGGCATGGCAAGTACCGTCCCCTTTGCATGCAGTGCTGTGATGTGCGAGTCACTGTCATTTTGCCCAAACGATGGCAGCTGGTGTGTGCTGAAATGGGTGTCTTGTCCTTACGAACTGCAAGGGCCAGCATTTGTGGAGAAGGAGGGACTAATGGTTGTAGGGTCAGCTGCTGACCAGGTCTTCTTTTAGCAGGACATCTTAGCGTTGTATTTGTTATAACAGCAACTTGGTCTCTGAGTTGGGTGGCTGCGTACTACTGCAGTAGAAATCATGAAATAGCAGGAGGTTAAAGCTTTTTTTGCAATCCTAGGTATCAAAGTACGGAAGGACAAGCCTCAGCCGAGTATCAATTTGAAGAGATTTGTGAAGAAACTTGAGAATATTTCAGATGATGAAGCTCAGGAGATCCTAGAAGAGAAGAACTATGTTGCTACTCTTGGAATATGTAACCAAGGTATTAGCAGGAGAAAACGTAACACATCTGTGACTTAAGGAGATTCTTGCAGTGTCAGGGTTGTACAATGCCAGTGAAATTGCTTTTGAGGGCTGAACCAGCTCTGGCTGTGGTTGTGGTAACAGGCAAAGGAGAGGATTATTATTCTAGGATTTTATTATGATATTTATTTTATAACACCTGCAATATAAAGAGAGCCAAATAGTGAAATATTGCATTCCGTGTTTCTTGGGTTGGGAATATATCAGTGCTTTTAAAATAGCTGCAAGTAACATTTCTTTTCGCAGATCCAATGGGAAATGGCACAAGTGTAAGTGGTGGTGAAGTTTATTCATTTCAGACTCCCAAACGCTCCAGTAAAATGGCAGAGCTGGGTATGTTTTGCTCTCTTTTCTTTCATTCTTGCTCCGTCTATGGTCTTTTCTTGAGTATTCTTGTTTAAGTGATTTGTCACTTCTTTTTACGCAAAAGATGTAATTGCAATATTTCAGTACCTTTTATTGGTCTTTGAATCAGTCTTCATCAGAAACAAAAGCACAGGGCTAAGACAAAGCAACGACGTGATGGGGGTAGGAAATACAGATAATAAACACATAAGAAAATGTAGAAGTTTCTTAATGCTGGGAAAAAGTCTCTGTGTAAGTGCCAAAGAATGGTAGGGTTTTTATTTGTGTAATTTAGAAGGATGTGAGAATATCCTCACTATGTAGCAGAGAATCAAACAAAGGCTATATTAGCTTTGTGTGTCAGAGGATTTCTACTCAAAGTGTCTGAGTGTGCTTGCTGGGCTAACTGTGGACTCCAAGTTCACAGTCCTGTAGAAAGTTGCATTCTGGAGAGGGTGGACTCTTTTGGTTCAAATAAGATGCATGAGGCTTGTTGTCACCATTTCTTCTCACTTGAAAAGTATGTCCAACACCATCTGAATTTCTTTAGCATTTAGCTGTCACAGCTACTGATACATCCTACAAAGGATAATCCAAGAGAGAGGGTTTTGGTGCCTCTTAGCTTCTACTGTGTCTTGGGAAGTAGTGTGTTTCTTATCTTACACCTCCTTCTGCAGCAGAGTAGGTTTCAGTGGTGCTCTCTCCTGGAGCCAAGTCAGTTTGAAAAGGGAAGTCATACAATGCTGGGCTGTGAGTCACAGTGTTGTTCCATGCAATAGGCTGTTGGTCCTGCCATGGTAGGGACTGTTTGCAGGTTATGGGCACCTTTCATATTCAGATCAGTCCTTTGACTTCAGCTTGCACTGATAAGTACTACAAAGAGGTAAATAGTTCCTCCTGGGCAACTGATGTGTTTGCTATACCTGATGCTTTACTATGTCCAGCTGAGCAGTTTTAAAGGGCTAAGTGAGCCTGGCCAAACATCTCTCTGATTCAAAGACGTGGTCTCCCAGGCAGCAAAATGTGCTCTGCCATTGCCTCAGCCATACTTGTAAAATTAATTAACTGACGAGTTCAGTCTTTGAAAATCTTTGCTGAGGATTACATTCACCATTAGGGTTAGAAAAAAAATGGAAGTATCTGGTGCACTTCCTGCAATAGCTAAGGAATTAATACTTAGAGAGCATTTCAAGTATATGGCTCCATGTCTGACTACCCAGATCTATAAGTTTTGTACTTGACATGTGAAACTTCTTCCCTTTCCCCTCTTTTCTACAGCCTCTGAATTAGCCCACACACCAGAACAGAGTGTGGCACCTGATCACTCCAAGGGCCCTGGGAAGACAGCAAAGACACCTCAAAGTAGCAGTAAGTCCTATGATGGCTTCAGCAACTGAAGCTGAGTGAATGGCGGTTATGTTTCCATTGGGTTGGTGGAGTGAATGCTTGAGTGCCAGTTTCTGTCATACCTGAGTGTTTTAGTCAGCTTAATACCATAGGCTGAACTGTTTGGTATGCATGGCCTCTGCTTCACCTGAGTGTCAGGAGCTTCTGTCTCATCTACTGACATTTAACGACTTCCTCTGCATTCAACAGAAATACTTGCTCTCTCAACTTGAGAGAGTTATAAGTTGGGTTTATGCGTTAAGCAGCAACTAGGTAGGAGTGTGGGGGTGTTCATGTGTAAATTCACACTTTATTATATAATATTTAAGCACCCAGTGCTGCAGGGAGAAATACAGGTGGGAGAAATCAGTGCAGGTCAGCACTGGCAAGAGTATGTGCCTTTGTGCTCGGAAGTGGAGTCTGATGTGCTCAGGGAGAAAACATTACCTCATTTTTTTGCCTCTTCTCTCCTGCCAGTGGCCTCCCAAAGCTGTGACCAGAATTAAAAGCTGCCTTCTGTGGTAATAACATTGACTGTTTTGTGTGTCGACACAGGCAGGCAGCTGGAACAACCACAGACTCACGGCTGGAATGCAAAGAGTAAATTTACTTCCATTACCTCACTAACCACAGGTTCCCTGAGGCAACACCTGGGCAGAGGTGTAGGCACTGAGTGGAGATTCAGGCACCATTAAGTTTAGTCCAGTGCTAGAGAATCACCAGCCTGCTGTTCACACTGGTTTATCAGTGGCTTCTCACGTGTATAGTTTACCACCGTGCTGTGATTTTCACTGTTTTGATCCTCTCTGTACCAAGACAGGGAGCTTGAGCCTCCTCATTCACTCTCCCATTAGGGTGTCTCCAGGTCTAACAAGCACCTGTGTTATCTAGACACAGATGCTCTACTTCTCAAAGAGTACAGAGAGCCAACAGCAATATCCATGGTATATGTGTTTTTCTACATTGCTACTTGAGTCTTTGCTATCCTCAGCTGCAGGGTCACTTGAGCATATTTGTAAATCTCTTTGCCAGTCTTCTACTATTAACCCATTCCTCCCAACAATTGTCTTTGTTCTCTTCTTGCCTACCTGTGAGGAGGTAGAGTCAGGGAGCTGATATTCTGGTGCAGCATACCTTTGAATAGTGAATGCCTGGTTTTCTACAGGATCAGCTTGTGCCACTGTTGAAAATATGCAGTACTCTGTACAATGCTGTTTCTTGTTTTTCAGAACATTCAAGTTCAAACAAAGAGCAGCTGAGGGTGAGTGATGACTTTAGCTTGGTTGGATTTTGGTTGGGTTTTTTTCCCCCTACTTTTAAAACTTGAGGTCGCCAGTCGTACAGTTCTGGAAAGGAAAGACCTTGAAAAGCCTAATCCAACCACACAGGAGTAACTGAAATGAGAACCAGAGCTGCCATTAATGAGGGCTATGGGATTTGGAGTCAGTGGGCAAATAGTGGGTTTGACAGCTTAATTACCATGGGTGGAAACTATTTCCTTGCTTCACACAAGTGAGGATGCTCGACAATCCCTTAATACACAGTTAAACTCATAGCTTTCCAGTTTCTCACTAAAGGAAGAAAAAACCTTAATTGTAAGGAGTGCTGTTAGAACAGGAGTTCAAGAACTGTGGTGCTGTTTCTTACTTTAGCATTGGTTTATAAACTGGGATAATGGGGAGATGTAAGTTGATGTTGTGTTTTGTGATGTTACAGAGAGATACTGTCCAGAACTGCCAGTTGTGGTTATAGAGTGGAACAGTTGGCTTTCTAGAATGGTATAGCATCATACACAACTTTTCCAGTATAAGGTTCCAGGATGAGATATGCCTCCAAAAGAGATGCTATTTTGGGATGCCGTATTCACTCCCTGATGATTTCACATCCACTTTGTCAGGATCAACAAAAGTGTTTCCTAAGTGTTGCAGACTTGATCCAGTGTCCAAGTCAGTCATGTGCTTTACACGTGTAAGGAAAATGTGCCACTACAACCTGATGAGCACAGGCAGCTTGGGTTCCCTGTGCTGTACTTCTGGGCTTAGTATGCTGAGTGGTCTTCTGTCATTATGGTAGTTGTTTTCCTGGAGGGACTTCCAAAGAACTTTCAGTGGACAGCATGGTGTGGAAGATAACTGCTGTGGGGACCAAAGCATTTTCAGTTTGTCATTGCTTCAATTTGACTCTTCCTGAGGGACCAGGATTGGCATCTTGGTTGGAGATTTCACAATTTTCTACCCTCCATCTCAAGACATGAGTTGAAAGAACTAAGCCCCCTTTGAAACCTGATCCTGCCTCCCTCTGAATGGCAAAACAAGAACTCTCCATACTTACTGCCTCTGCTTTCCTAGTTTCATGTGGGCTGAAATACTTTGGAAATGTAACCTGATTCTACTCTTTACTTGGCAGAGGGCTGTTTAGAGGAGAGCTACACTTCTTCTTCTAATGTATGTTTTTTCTTTGCTGTTGCAGAGCAAAAAGAAAGAATTTGTGTCAACCACACCTTACAGGCTCAGAAAGAGGCTAGCAGGTAAGGATCAGCCTTTGCAGTCAGCTCCCACAGTCAGTGAGGCTGTGCTCAGGAGAGAGTGTTTTTCCTGGTGAGGAAAAACACTGTTTTTCCATAGTAACAGTGTGACTGAAGCAATCTACTTCATCCTGCAGAGAGTGTAGAAATGTCCTTATGTTGACCTTTTCCCTACAACTGATAGTTACTAAGGTAAGGGATGGGAAGGTTAGAAGCACCAAGTTGCCAAACTTCAGTAACATGATCAAAAGAGACAAAACTTCCAGTAATCTAACCTGTGCTGACACTTAAATTTGGCATAATTGCTTGAACCAGGTCATAAAACTTTTTGATGATGGCTGGGACATCCATGGTAAAGTATTCCAATAGTTATTCCAACAACTGGTTGGCTGTAAGTGCTCAGAATGAATGCAGAGGAGAGTTTAGTACATGGTGTTTCATCTTCTGTTTCTTTTGTGTTGAGAGACCAAGTCTGAGCCAGATTTGTCTGTGCTCTTCAATCAACACTGCTAACAGAGATATTTTACAAAACCTTTTTGCAGTGTGTGACTTAGAAGATACTCAGCTTGCATGATTGGCATTTCCAAAAGGGAAAACTGATGCAGAGATTCTAAGAGAAATAGGGAATTCCGTTGTCCATTTTTAGTCACTTTTTATGGTAGGATTATGTTTCTTAGTTGGTGTCAAGGAGCAAGCTTTACTTAACAGTACTTTGTGATGCTAGAACTGGGAAAGAAATGACCATGTGTGTTTGCAGTTCTGTTAAGCATTGATTTTACCTTTCTGTGAAACATATTTAGGATTCATATGCTTGAAAAACTTCTTGAGAATGTGTGTGAGAGTGTGAGATGGTGCAAAATGGATTACATGTAAGAAGTCATTCCTAGCTTTTAATTGTAAATTTATGCTCTAGCTCCAGATTCCTATTTAGAAAGTGAGAGTGAATATTCTGCTTCCTGCTCAGAGGAGGAGGATGAAGAAGATCAGCAAGAAGTCAGCACTGTTTTATCAGGTCAAAAGGCCCCAGCAAAAACTAAGGCTGCACCTACACCTCCTCCCAGAAACAGCCTAGCCAAAAAAAATAAGGAGGAAAAGATGGTGAGTGTGCAGAAATTCTGAGCTAGCAAACGCGAAGGGATGTGTAGTGACAATAAGCTGTCAGTGACCACACCTGACTGTGGAGAAGGACTGCTGGACTCATTTCAAATCAAACCAGCTGGGTTGGCTTTTGTGGTACTTTTGAACAATCCCTGTTGGACAGGCATCACGGGAGCCTGTGGGCTAATCCAGTCTGTATCCTTAGCAGCTTCAGAAGGAGAAGTTCTAAGATGTCCATGAAGCAGGAGACCTTGTATTGATAAAGGATGAAGGAATTGATTCCTGTAGCACCAAAAGAAGCACACGTTACTGTTCTGGCTTGGTGTTCAGCCTAATTGTCTTATTTCCTTCCAGCATCAGGGATCCTCATACTGCCTTAGAATTAAGTGTTATGTTCTCTCTCTCAGAATCTCTTTTCTGTCTCTGCCTTCAGGCAGGAACCATCTGACTAGGTTGACTTTGGCAGAATGCTACAATAAAAGCCATTTTTGCTAATATTTTTTGTCTTTTTCTTCATCCTTATGCTGTGTCTCATATTGGCCATCTTAGGGAGAGGCAGGAGGAGTGTGGCTGATCTTGCTGTCCTTTTACAGAGCAACCTGATGGAAGAATACTTTGAAGCTCACAGTAGTTCCAAAGTGCTCACTTCAGACCGAACGCTGCAGAAGTTGCGGAAAAGAAGGTTGAATCAGGTATGTTCACAGTGAATAACACAACTCTTGGAGCTTTTGATTTCTTTGATAAAGATTTCCCTCTTCAAAATTTCCTGATGTTGCTATTTTCACTTTATTTCTGCTCGTTACATGCTCAGTGGTAACACTGGTTTAGGTAGTGTTCTAGGCAGTATATTCCCTTCTGCTGCTCTGAGCAGGGACAGTGCCCAGTTGTTGGAATATGAGACAACAGGGAAAATGCAGGGAGGAGAGGTTACCAGAAGAGGTTAAAGTTTGCTTTTGAGGGAGGAGAAGAGGGAGAAGCACAATTGTAGAGACCTGTTTGAAAAATTATCACCAAAAGAGTGTTTTGTCAATGAAATTATATGGGGAATTACAAGCCGTCTTGACTATTTATGTGTAGAGGAAATAAAGAGAGCTCTTTTAATCTGAATACTACTGGGTCAAGCCTCTTGCAGGACTGGGACAGCTCAAAATGTTTTCACTTAATTTGTTAGATTTACTTTGTTCCTTTCCAGTTTCTAGTAGACAGGAATCGTCTAATTGTGATGACTGAATTACTTTTATTTTTCTCACTTCCATGAGAGAGTTCAAAGCAAGGAGTGGTACCCTACATAGACAGGTACCCAAGGACAGGTGCCAGGGAAGTGTGTAGAATATTTGTAGTTCTTGTGTCCATGACTGCTTTTTGTGCCCATTTGTGTTGTAAAAGATAGCATATATGCAGACTGCCTGATGCCTGCTGTTGTCTGGAATTACTGCCCAGAAGAGCACCTGTATTCTTAACAAGTTCTTTTGTAACAGCTCTGGAAGAAAATTGAGGCTTTCAGTGTTAAATCTACTGCTTGCTTCAAAATAATCGAAGGCTTAGCAGTTCTATCTCTCAGTGCTTTGTTTGTCTGATACATTGCAGCTGCCTTTCCAGCCTAAACTGTCTTCTGTTGCAAGGGAGTGGAAAGCAAAGCTGTTAAAATGGAAGAGAAAGGGAGGTCAGTGTAGATTTGATGCTACTTATGCTGCCGTGCTGATTAAACATGAGCATCACAGCATACCCTTAAAACTGAATTATTCCTTTTGTTCTTGGTGCTTTTGAAATAATACTTTTTCTACATTTAGCTATCAGCTGCAAATTATTTTCTTCCTGCTGTATTTCTTTTTTAAGATGATGGGTTTTTTTGAGCATTCTCTTGTAGTGACAAACATCTGAACCTTTGCTAAGCATGTTGCTAAGCCTTTGCTCCCGTGAGCAGGGATGGGATATTGGCACCTTCCTGGTGCAGTGCTTGGGGCTGTGTAAGCTCTGAGTGTGCCTGTTATTCCTGTAGTAGTTTTCCCATACTTGGCAGAAAGACAAAAGACACAGTGTGATATCTGCTCTAGTCCTACTCTGGCTGTCATTTTGCATAATAAGTTTACTTAATCTCTGTTTTGTGTCTTCAGTAGCAAAACTGTGCTCAGGGGGTCTTCATGGAAAAAAGAAACAACCACAAATTGAGTGCACTGACAACGAAAACTATTCTCCCTTGCTAGAAAGCATACTAGAGGGTGTTCTTAAGGACTCCAGATATGCCTTGTTTCTTCTCTGCTTTGAATGACTGCCATCTCTTTCTCAACATAGGAAACACTGCGTGATCTTCTGACAAAAGCTCCCCTTGCCTATGCTGCTGAAATTAAAGAACTTAACCAGAAACATGAATCCTTGTTTTCCAAGTGGATGCTGCAATTACAGTAAGTATCCAATGAGAATCACTGAATAAGCCTAGTAAAAAGGCACTGCCAGTAAACTTACCCTTAGTCAACAATATCCTGTGGGTGAATTAAGGAGTGACTTTTTTTCTTATGATTGATTGCTTAAATTTAAAAGTAGGTGACATTAATGTAGTTCAGTGCTTCCTGCAGACCAAATCATATCAGACTGACTCCTTAAACTGAACGCCTGAAGTGCAATGACATTGCATTCTACCTGGCTAGTTTGCCTGTGCCTCTCTAAACCAATGTAGAGGGCATTCACAAACAGGGAACATGAATAATGAGAAAACAGGGAAAGGGAATGATGAGAAAAGTGTCCTTTGTAAGGAATTGGTTTTGCTTACAGCAGCGAGCTGGTAGTGAGTAGCCCACCACCAATTTCTTCAGTCTTTGCTCCAGCATCCATGTGGCTGATGGGATGCCAATCCTGGTCTCAGCCCCGACCCAGCTGAGGGGATGCCGATCCTAGTTTCAGGGTTGGTCCACCTTGTCAGTCTGGCTGATGACATGTCCGGGGTTTGAGGGCACCGCCTGGGCTTGGGGGGTACCTTTTCATGGGCAGGTTTGTCACTTTCTATGCTAATTAGTTATGCAGTCTGTTCTTTTAGGCCTTTCTGGAAGTGGGTCAAAGGGCTTCAGGGTCTTTTGTAGTTCCAATCCCACCTTATAGTTGACATCCACTTCCTGCCACTCATTCCTGCAGTTGCACTGTACTGTGTTGTGGTTCAGAAAAGTGCTGCCCTGTCTCCACCTAACCCCTTTTTTCCAGCCAAAACTTGTTCTTCCTCACGGTGTGTTAATACCAATAATCCTTGGTTATTATCAGCAATTCTTGTCTGTTATTATTAGCAGTCCTTGGTTGGCTTCACAGCCATCTGGTTATCAATGTTTGAGACATACACATTAGCCAGTTACCTTCTGGGAACTGAGACCTCAAAATGATTTCATTTCAGACCACTGCTTATAGGGTGGCAAGAGAGTGGGCTTCAGTCATAGAAATTTTTTCATCCTGGCCGCAATTTGAGTCAGTAACTTTCTTTAAAGGTTCAGCAACCAAAATATTATTCCACTGGGGTTGTTATTCAGGCAAGAAAAATAAGTTTCCAAGGCTGCTTGTTAAAAAACACGTGCTCATTAGACATCACTAGTTCCTGGGAACAGACAGTGTTTCTGATAAGTTGGAGAGGGGCTTAGTCCAAGTGCAATTCATCAAGACCAAGGCCTAATGAGTGTTTCTCAGATCATGGTGAAGCCTGAGAGAGGAGTGGATGTGACTAAAGTCAGTTTCTCTGGGGTTCTACAATTCCCTACCATATTCTCTTTGTGCTTTCCTGCCTCTTTTTCTGTGGAACAATTAGGATAAGAAATATATATGAGAATAGAGTAATTTTGCTTTGAAATTGCGCCTGTGGATCAGAATGGAAAATGAGCATGAAGGCTTGCTTTTTTCCTTGTAATTGCTGTGACCTGCTGTAAACATTTAATGTAACCACTGGTGAGGAGATACATGTGAGTGCTGGTTACATTTGTAACCTGAAGTTTTAGATGTACTATCACTTTCTTAGTCAATACCATTTTCTTACATAGATGTTTTGCTGAATTTGTGAGCCTCTAGGCTGTTAAAATGCTTCTTTTAGTAGAATGCACATACCACATTTCAGCTCATCTTATTTATGAGCTGTCAGTTGAAGGTAAGCCTGGAGTTGACAAAACGTGAAAGTTTTTAGAGGCAAGATTGCAGTGGATTTTGCTTAATAAGTGTATAAACCTAAAACCAGACTTGTACTTTTTTGATTCAGTGTATTTTGCTCCCTTTTCTGCAGCTTGGGTTTCAATATCGTGCTGTATGGACTGGGCTCAAAGCGTGATTTGTTGGAGAAGTTTCGTACGTCTCTGCTCCAGGATTCTGTTCACCTTGTGGTTAATGGATACTTCCCCAGCATCACTGTGAGATCTGTAAGTGTGGGAAAAGCTTATGGCTTATGTAGTAATCCTGTTTTACAGATACCTCTTAAGTCTCTCAATGTAAAATATTAAGGAAGCCTGCTGCATCCTATAGCAGCAGGCTCTTGAATGAAGAGCAGTTCCTCTCTCTCTTACAGAAATTGTCCCATACATTTTCCAAGGAATTGTAGTGATTCCTGTCATTACTAGATACTCATCACTCCAAAGCCTTATTTTATGTCACTGTTTTGAAAAGGGGTAGAATTTTTTTGTTAATGTTGACTGCTTTGGGAATTTGATGGTAAAAATTGGATTACCTCCCACATGAGAGTCAAGGGCAATTTCAGATTTTCTGCACTTCAGTGCCAGGTCCCTTCATAAAGGACACCTGTTTTGTTTTTCAGATTCTCAACTCCATCACAGAGGAGGTATTGGATCATATAGGAACCTTCCGCAGCCCCCTTGACCAGCTTGAATTCATTACTAAAAGGTTTAAAGAAGGTAAAATGACTAATTTATCCATTAAAATGTTAGAATTTACTTGCTGTTAGGAGGGCATTTCTTTTCTCATAGTTTTCATATGTGCAATCACAGTTTCTTAGTGTATTTTAACTGGTATACTTCCTTGCTTGTAATTTATGCAATATAAATGAACATATGCACCAGAAATATATGTGTGCATGATCCCAGACTGTTACCTCAGTCAGTGTTTTACAGCAGGACAACAGTGTCAAACAAGCAGGTTAGAATTGGTTTCAAAAGTAAAATTAAACAGGTATTCCCACATGGAATGCTTACTTGAAATACTTTTTGAACATCTCTTTTACTGCTTTTGTATACATATTATATACATTGCCATGGAATTTTATTTGTGCATGCATTGGTGTTTCAGTGTTTCTGTTTTGTTTTGCATCATTACCCATCATGTCTGGTGGGACTAAGTGGAAAGACTGGTGAACAGCAGTATGCACCTTGATGTACATAAATCAAATACACTACAGCTGATCTGACTGGAAATCTGAGGAACCTTTGGTTTTCATTGGCAGACAAGTATGTATTCATTTGCACAAAAACTGGTTGTAGTTCCAGAATTGTTTCTGGGCAGAGGAAACAGCTGTTCCTAGGGATAAATACAGCAGCAAGAAACTATCTGGAAATTTTAGCATCTGCCATTTGCATTATCCAAGCTAGGTCTTTGTAACTTTCTTTCAGGACTCAGTGGGAAAAATTTCCAGTGAAGTTAATATGTTTTGGATCCAACCCTTAATAGGAAATGCATTTTCATTATGTGAGGAGGAGCTTAAAGATCTTAGTCATGTAACTTGAAAGCAGCTGAACAAACTGTGCTTAGGCTTCCATTCTAAAATATATTTTAATGATCTTGAGTTGCAAAGAAATGCATAGCTAAAAGGGCAATTCATGGTAAACCTGTGACCAAGTGGAAAGTGGATTATAACAGAAAAGCTTAAACTGAAAAAAAGAACTGTAGCTGTGATGACAACTGTGATACAATGAATTGAGAAAAAGCCTTTTAGGCGCTCAGAAAAACCAAGTATGGGATCAAAGTAAGCTATACAAGGAAAGTGATTTGATACTGGAGTGATATATATGGAGCCTGATGGAGTAGACTTGTCCTGTGCTGCACTGGGAACGGGAAGCCAGCTTGTGTGCAGTTTCTTTGATTGGTTCTCTGCTGTTTTTTCTGACCTTGCAGATTCATCTTTAGAGCTCTATGTCCTCATTCATAACCTGGACAGCCAGATGTTGAGAGGAGAAAGAAGTCAGCAGATCCTTGCACAGCTGTCATCTCTGCCCAGCATTTACCTCATTGCCTCTATTGATCACATCAATGCTCCTCTCAGTGAGTTCCCTGATCTAGCAAAGAGAAGAATCTGCATTCTGCTTTGGGGCTGCTGTTTCATAACCTCGTGTATTACTGTTGATTTGTAGAACAGTTCTGTTGATGTGTGTATAATCCCCATGGGGACTATGGTGGTACTGAACCAAAACTGTATAAAGATACTGAGAAATAATACTGATCATAATATACAAATAGATTCCTAGCTTCTGGCACCCTTTGATTTTAGGGACTTAACTGAACTAGAAATTGGATGTTATGTCTGTCATTACAACTTAACAATTTTGTTTATCGGCCAGTGTTGGGGGCAGAACAGAAGCTTCAGACAAAGTTGATTAGAGAAGCCCTCCCACTGAGCCATGAGGTGCAGAAAGGACCCCCCCTGCTTTCTAAACTCGTCCTCAGAGAGGAGTCTAGGTGTGGCTGGACCCAATCTTAGTGCCAGACTTAGTAGATAGTTTATGTCTAAAGGATTATATAGGTGTAATTGAACTTTGTCTCACAGGATTAAGGATGGCAAACCAAATACATAAATAAATGTTGGGGTTTTTTTAAATTAAGATGATGACTAGACTAAAAGATCTTAATCAGAATTATTTAGTACAGAGTATAGGTGGCTATAACTGTACACTATTTTTGAAGGAATATTGAAGCACTTATATTAAAGCTAGCAAAAACAATTATTAAGTAGAAATTGATGTTACTTACCCATACCAACAACTGTGGGCAAATCTCTTAAGTTCAGCCTTGAGAAGTAACTTCGAGGAGCATCCCCACTCAAGAAAGGAATCTCCACACTCTCTGGGAAGGGTGTTGTTCAGGCTGGTTTACCCCCGCTCTGGGCAGAGCATCCAGCTGTAGCTGGTTGCACACTGTTGACTCTGGAAGGATTTACAGTCTATCTATGAAACTAGTATGGAAAAGGGATGCATGCAGATGTTTTGTTGAAGAGAAATTGTCTTGCTGGAACAGCAAGTATCTGGGTCTATGTACTGTGAATTTCACAAGCATGCATAGTTTCCTCAGTCCTACAGTAGAACTATGTACATTTTAATATTGCTTATTTAACACCTTAGAAAAGCTAAATCTCTCAATTTTATCTGCTTGCTCTTTTGTCTCTGTCTAGTGTGGGATCAGGCAAAGCTGAGTCTCTATAACTGGCTTTGGTATGAAACAACCACATTTAGTCCTTACGTGGAAGAAACATCTTATGAGAATTCGCTTTTAGTACAACAGTCTGGATCTTTGGCTTTGAGCTCCCTCACACATGTCCTGCGCAGTCTCACTCCCAATGCCAGGTAAGACACTCTTACACTTCATAGTAGCACTTGCTGAGGGAGGACACAGTCCTTACAGTCCATGTTCTCTGACAACAGTGTTGAAGATGAAGATAGTAGGACCTGGGTTCCAGTTGAGTGGTTGTTTTAAATGAACAGCATTTAGATAGCAAACCTTGTCCAGTGATGAGATTCACAGCTAGGTCTTTGTGCAAAAGGGCAAATCAGTTCATATTTTCTAAAGGTGGGAGTTTTGGGATGTTTTTCAATTACTATTTTTATTTTTATTTTCTCCTTTCCTCCTTTCACTTAGGGGGATATTCAGATTGCTTGCTCAGTACCAGCTGGAGAAAAAGGACAACCCATCTTACCCAGGTAAGTACCCACCTTTGCTCATCTCTTTGGGGTGTTGCTGTTCACAGCAGCCCTGGCTTTTGGTATGCAGATTACATGTCCAGCAACAGAAGTGCTACAACAGTCGGCTCAGTGTCTTTTTAAGTGGCACTGTGTCTGACTCTGACAGGAAATCAGTAGACTGGCTGGTTCTGAAGGATCTGCTCTCACTGTTGTCTGCTTTGATTCTTAGACATGACTGAGGCCATTCATGGGGGGCTGTGGAGTTAAAAAAAATTAAAATGAAGTCTATGAATTTGCATAACTTGCACTTAAAGGACCAGGGAGAGATAGGAGATTTTTTTCCCATGCTGTTCCTATCTAGGTGACTTCTGATGTATCCCTGCTATACATGTGGAATATTCTGTCACCATCTGTAATAGGTGCTGCAGTGGATATAAATAACTTGTTAATGGTACAGAAAGTAAGATAGAGTTGGAAATTAGAGAGATTAACCATGTTGGAAAGTGCATTTAAAGTGCTATTAAAATTCCATTAGGCAGCAGTGTGGCTGGAATGTTAATTCAGTGGTTTTCCATTAATTACTAAAATATTAGCTTGGATGTATACTTGAAAGAGGTGATGTTACTGTAGGCACTGTGGTCTGAGCCAAAGCAAGGCTTTCAGGCAGAGAAAATATGTGGTATTAGACCTGGAATATTCTGACAATCTTACCACTTTCCATTTCTTGTTCTTGACTTTTTCTGTCTCCAGGGCTGTCTTTCCAAGACTTTTACCAGCAGTGTCGGGAGGCTTTCCTTGTGAACAGTGACTTGACACTCAGGGCACAGCTGACAGAATTCAGGGACCACAAGCTCATCCGGACCAAGCGGGTGAGTTGAGGGAAGAATATAATTCTGGATTTTACTTTAAATCACTTTAAAATAATAATAATAATAATAATAAAACCACTTTAAATAAAAAAGATGCTTAATTGCTACTAAGCGAGGCTGTATTGTTTTAAACACCTAGGAACTAGCAAGGGGCTGAAATTCTGTAATTGCAGCTCTTTCCATGCCTCCAATTTGTCAACACCCTTTACATGCTGTAAAAATGCAGTGTGCTTTGGTTACTCAGCAACCTACATGTCTCTTCTTCCTGAAGACTGTGAGAAATAATGGACTGTGGAGCCTACCAGTCTGCTGCCAATAGTTACCTCTATTTTCACAAGAAAATAATGCAAACTCATCCTAATAATGAGACAGTATAGCAGTACTAGTTATGGTGAGCTGTGTAGTGTCAGACTAGCACAGCACACAAGATTTATCATATACTGACTTTTCTCAGTATCTGTGCATTTCCAGCGTTGCTCTAGTGAAATATTTCTGTTTTTTAGTAAAGTAGTCCTCCAGAATGCTGGCCAGCTCTCGTCCAGACTGCAGATAAATGCTAGCACTGCAGTGCTGTCTGGTGGCTTGCCTTGTCCTGTACACTGGTGTTAACAGAACGTGTATGTCTGTCTGTTCTCAGGGAGCTGATGGTGTGGAATACTTATTAATTCCTGTGGATGACAGTACCTTGACCGACTTCTTAGAGAACCAGGATGAAGATGTGTAATGTCTCTGTGTTCTCAAAAGCATCTATGGCAAATGCTCTCAAGGGCTGCTGGAGAGGGGCCTATACTCAGATCTCTCTTCCTCCAACCCCACGGCTGCTGGACTGAAAAGTGTTAATTCTAATGAGCCATGCTCATTGTTCAGGTGGTTTGGAATGATGACTTCTGTAAGCACAGCATCTCTTGTGCTGTAGCTGGATTTGTCTGCTTTGTCTCTTAGCTCAGATAACGCCACTTTCATATCTGTGCAGCCACTCTTACAGCCAGAAAAGCAAACTCAGTAAGACTGTGCCTTCTGCTCTCTACCTCACCAGACATGAGGGTTTGATTGGAGCAATGTACTTGGGAAGGGCAAGTCACAAGATGGTCACGGCTTTAGTTTGTACTCATGGTGCAACTTTTGTCAGCTGAGTGCTTTCCAGTACTCCTTTACCATTTAGACAAAGTTAGCTTCCAGTGTATGAAGAAGCCAAGATTTAAATTGCTAGGAGACCTACCTTGATTGCATGAGGAAAGGAGAATACTAGTGGGTTTGGGATGCTGTGGGTAACTTACTAAATTCTGACAACAGAACTGAAGGACTTGCCCCAGACCTACATCCTTTTATAAGAAGATTTAGATGATCTAAATTGTGATAGACTCACGTCATTACCTGCTATTTTCCAAGGTGCAATCCAGAAATATGAAAAGGCTGTGAAGCTTTTTTTGTTTATTTTTTTAAAGCTTGATTGTATATTTGTATTTTTTACGTCAGGAGTGTCCGTTGATCCTGAAGGAGGCCTTAAATGCCACTTATAAGCTCTCCCTTTTTTTAAGCCCTTAGGAGGCTGGGAGACTGCTGAAGTTGGACATCTTCACTTTTTTTTTCTCAGTTATGTGGGAGGAAAATCTATAGTTCCGTCAACTGTATTCTGCCAGCCAGACACTTCAGGGATTCTGTACGTTTAACATTTGGTTACAGCTGTTACAGCTCAGTGTTGTAATAGTTTAGACTATCAAATAAAGTACTTTATTAATTTTCATTAGCTTGTCTTGTCTTCCACAATCTTTTTATGATATAGGAAGATAGAGATCCTTGTGGCAATTGTGCAAAAGCCTCATTTTCATTACTATGTCAAATATCTGAGCAAATCCTCATACAGCGGGCAGAAGATTTCAAACTAGTTAGTAAAAATACTTTACATTGTTTCTTATAAGGTATCAAAATTAAGAATGGTTTCCCTGCCTTTTAATACCACTGTATAGCTTTTGAAGAGAACCAAAACATCCCATGGAGTAATAAGTTACCTCATCTGCCCCTCACTTACAGGAGCAACAGAGAGGTACAGCCAGACTTTTGTTTGTATTAGAAAAATCAGGGCATCTGCTTATCCCACTATCAACTTGATTCTTCATTATAGGTCCTTATTAGCTTTGCCGGAGAGACTGATGGGAAAACTGATATATGCCAGAAGAACTTTCAAGCTTCTTCCCCCAGAATGTTTTTCAACTTTTTCTTTTGGTACCACTTGCATCTGCATTTTACAGGCTGCAATTTCAAAACTTTGCAAAAAGCATCAGATCCTGCCTATCACTACTTAGGCTACTGTCACAGTCACCAAAAGCCACTAAACTGGGGTCAAGGCGTTGTGACTTAGCCAAGTCCTGTAAGTTGGGTGTAGAGTTAAAGAACAAGAACTCTGCCACTGGAAGAGATTTCTTGGACAAACTGTAAACTGTAGCTAAGCAGCAACCACATCCTGTTTTTCAGTCCTTTGATTCTCTCCACAGTCCCTGTGAAACTCAAGATTTCATTTATATTCTGAGTGCATGCAAGAAGACACCACCTAATGTGTTTCCAGATAGTGATACCATGGTGCATTTTCAGTGCAATTCTATCTGGTTCTCTAGATGTGAAATGTACATGAAGGAAGTGCTATAATCATCCCGAGTTCAGAATTACCCACAAACAGTTTTGGTAGACTACCAGATGCCCATACAGGCCAGAAGAAGGACTGCAGGAGATACCACGCAGCTGTTAAGGAGGTGGTTAAGTTTGTATCAGTTTTTGGCTGCTGCTAATTCTGTGATGCAAGCTAAAGAAAGATACCTTGAGTTAACTCGTGAGTTTTGTGTTAAAAGTATTTTATCTGATTTCATGCTGTTTCTGGACACTTAGCCCATCTCTGCATTCATTTTAGGTCTCTTGTGTTCTGTGTAGGTACAAAGGCAGTGGCATTTTAATGTCCTCTGTAGCAATACAGAACCACAGGGAATGAAGACATTTCTCCCCACTTTGTCTTCCTCAGCTTACTGAGATGTCTGCGTGGTATTGGTAAGAATGATGGCCTTTATATAGCCTTGGTAGCTACAGATAATACCAGTCATCTCCACTTAAATCTAAGTGGAACTAAAACATGCAGTTATGTAGTAGAGACATTGCTTGATAAGCCAGTTTTATTAACTTAAAAGGATGGTGCCAAGATCTTTACCAGTTTGTAACTGAACTATTTACCATCTGTAGATGGTATGCTATGCAACTGTGACATTTTTTTCCTTAAAAAAACCCCCAAAAACCCAAACAACAAAAAATTAACTTGAAAAATAAAACTCAAGCATTATCAGTGGTGAAAAACTACATGTTCAGTTTTGGTAATCCTGTAACTAAGAGCCACAGTTACAGAAACTGTTTTTAAAAGAAAGTAACAAAGGCACGTTAAATTAATATACAGTTTTGTTAAGGAATTGAATTTTAACCTTACAAAGCATTTTTTTAGAGTCCCTCTATTAAAAAGCCCTTAAGCTGCATTAGTGGTAGATTGTGCAATTGAATACTAGTACCAAAAACCTGATTTGTGTTCTGTATTTGCATCTGAGTGGTGCCTTAATAAAACTGTTAATTGAAATGGGTGATCCATACCCTTTCATTAAGTACTTTTCCTGAAATTTATTAGCTAAAATATCAGTGACTTGCACTGGCATCATTTGACATAACTGAAGCAAGGTAGAACTGTGTAAGCTTAAATCTGAAGATAAGTCAGGTTTTACATATTTTACCCAAACCAATCCTAGAGTATCATGGTTATCAAATATATCTAATAAGAGCAAGAAGTAACAGTGGATTTATTCAAGTGCAGCCCAGTAAGTGAGTAAACAAACCTTTGGTAGCCCAAAACAAGTATTTATTTTTCTGACATGACAAAATATACCTCAAACTTTGAGGGACTGTACAATACAATCATTCTGTACTGAACCAATTGAAAACACCTCCATTAAGCTTGCAGCTGGACAGGTCTGTGCAAGATACCATGATTGAATGAATCTCCTCTCTCCTATGTTTTTTCCCCTATGCCACCTGGAGAGGATCTCTGTCTTTCTCAGACACAATGATGCTGATTTTGTTCTCTAGGTGGGTCGCTAGCACCTCACGCAGCTCTGACAAGAAGCCTCGCTCAGTGTTACTGTGCTCACACAGAATAACACTTATCCCTTTGGCAACTGCATCCAGAACGTCATGGTGGGACATCTCTCCTGCCATTTGGAGAAAGAAATGTTATGTAGATCACTAATAACACAGTTTAGGTAACCAGGTCTTTGCAGATTTTGCAGACTACATTATATTCCATTTTCTGTAAGGGAATTCTGTAGGGAATGGAGGGAGTATCTTGTGTCTTGCCAAAGGAGAAACACACTGAAATTGCAACGTATTGTCATCAACACTGATTCTGTGTTGAAATAATGCATGTATAACAATGTTTTAATTCAAATAACTTTCACTGTGCCACACAGCCTCTGATCCACGTTATCTATACTTAAATGGTATTCTTCTATCATTCCAATAACTAACTGATTGTTTCTCAATTATAAATAATAGGTAACTCTTTCTGGCCAAATCTTTTAACAACCAGTCCTGGCTTGTTGTTTGTTTTTTTGTTTGTTTGTAGTGACTATTTTTATAAAGATAATGAAACAGCAACATAATCTTTTACCTGTGAGGTAGAGGTCAGCTTCTGTTCCCTTCAGGACACTGCTCCCAGAACCAGCACACAGAGCAGCTTTCTTCACTGGCGATTCTGCAGGACACAAGGTGCCACAGTTAAACTTTGTTCAGCCCTCGTGTCTGTACTGATTAATTGTTTCACTATAACTACCTCGATTTTAGAGTCAATGTAAGTTTGTAGGAGTTGGAGACACATCTCTCAGTTTGAAGTGTCATAGGCCTGTAACATCTCTTATAATACAGCACAATCCTCTGTGATAGGTAGATTTTTTTTCTTCAAGGGGTAGGAAAGTTTTCAGAACACTACAGCACAGAGGCTGGCTGATGGCTAGTTTTCTCCTAGTGAGGTGTTGTTTAGTTAGGTTTCTGAACTGTTTAATAGGCTGCTACTCTTTCCAGGACTTCATGTTCCACCATCATTAGGTTCCCAACTAATGATGCCATTAAGGCAGTATTTTCCCTCTAAGATATACTAGTTGCTAACTTTTAGCTCTCAGAAGGCCAGTCTTAATGCAAGCTGAAAACTGCTCCATGCCATTAAAAATTTTCCCATTTGCTGTGGTTGCTGATTAGAAGCTGTTACATGTGTGACAGTGACAGGAAATTTAATTCTTCGTATACATTACATTGAGTAAGGAGAGGGGACACACAACACAGAGTTTTCAAATTCTGTTAAGGTTTTACAGTATGTTGCCTTGCAATTACTGTTAATTTAAGTGAAGTCATATCACTTCATTCCCACACCATAATGAGAGGCTTCAAAATATTTCTGGGGATTTTTTTAGTGCAATTGACAGCAAAGAGGCTTCTAATAAGACTTCTAAAAAAGTTTTCAACAAATTTGCTCTCACAAATTCTAGCAGCTGTGCTCCTTGGAGATTAGGATAGGTAGCTGGGATAAGAGGATGTTTGCTCCACATTTTTCTAATGACTCCACTGTTTGAGCTGGTTCACCTTTTTTCCTTGTCTTTCATCAAAACATGGTCACATGTTCATAAGGATACCATAAAGTGTCTTACTATTTTGAGATGGTTTGAAATTAACATTCAGCCACAAGAGGGAATGTACAATGAAACAGTACACCTCTGTGTCTGATATCCTGGGCAGCAAATAAAATCTTAGTAATTATATAAATTATGAAACAGGATGTCTTGTATTTGATTTGGGCTGTCCCTTCTTCACTATGTCAACCAGTGCAAAACAGAACTTCCCACTAAAAGTACAGATAAGATTCTTTCTTGTGATTGTACTGTGTAAATTCTAAGATGCTGTTTCCTAGCATTGCTTCATAGTACTTGGAAGTAAACCTGTTTAAGACAGAGCAGTATTTCCCACTCTCACACACACACTCATGCTCCTCATGAATACCATTTCTAAGGGACAGCCTTACTTGCAGGCCTGTTTACCTAGTGTCCTGCCCATTCCCACGGCTATGCGGATGTGAGGCAATTTTAGGTGGCTTTTGATACGCTCAATTATGTCTGACAAGGAGACTGGCTCACTCAGTGTGCACAGACGTCCCATTCCAGTGTGGGGAAGAAGAGGCTGAAAAGAAATTAAAATTACTGTGAGAAAGCTGACTCCAGAAGCTTGCATTGCTTTCCATCCTGTGCAAAGGTGAGTATATCAGGCATTCAGGAATGTCTCTGAACTTTACAAAAATATGTGTGATGTCCTCAAATGTAACATACTAATCACAACAGCTATTGGAACTGATTTAAGAATTAGCACAGGCCACGAATATTTTCATTACTTTGGAAACCATGTGTGGCTTCAAACCCCCATAAGCCAGTATTTCAGTGCACTGATGGGGTAGCACTGGCAACCTGTGATGCTACTGACTGCTGCATTATAGTGTTTAGGGCACTCAGCTCACACAAGTAATACATTCACAGGAAGTAATTCATGATTTTGTTACCTTTTGTAGCAAGAGAATCTCCGTCTTGTGATGAAGAAGGCTGTTCTGGGACAATAATGCCACCACCTCCAACAGTGCTTTCTGAGAGCAGTTCAAAGTGACTCGTGTTTGCTCCTCACCTTCAACCCTGAGGAAAGATATGCTTGGTGCTTGCTAAGAACTAGATCAAATTTCAGTATTGTAATTATAAAACAAAGCTATTCTGCCTCAGTGGCTGTTTTACCACTGAGAAAGGAAAACAGAAGGTATTGGAATAGCCTAGCCTAGTTCACTCTCATGGAAAAAACAGATATGGGAATTTAACTCATCTGACCTCATCAAATTTCCTGTTAATACTCCTCTTTACCACCTCTAATCTATGTGATGCCAGACTTGAGTAGCAGTTACCATTTAGCATGATATAGATTGATCAGAAAGGGATAATTATTCCTTAAGTTTCTAGGTCTCTGCTGAAAAATACAGCAGCAATGCACAGAGGAACAAAGTGGTTATAACAGTAAAGTACAAGTAGAGCAACTTATTGTTTCAAACAGAAAGAGTACAACACTAGAGAGCAGAGGAGATACCTGGCTGGGAAAGTAGTGAGACAAGAGATCTCTTGGATGTCTTTGATTTTGGACAGCACTACATCCAGATGCTCAGTGTCTGTGCAGAATTCTACCCGGTGAGTGCCCTCAGCTGGACAGCTTGGTGCAGTTGATGGATGCAGGGGGACCGAAGTACAGGCACCTGAAAAAACAGTACAAGACTGCTGTTTTATAAAGCTGGATAAGTATCCTAATACTGATTTAGCACATATCCTAAAGAAATACAACAAAAAGATGCAAATTTTGCACTCAAATCCATTTTCCCTGACCAGAAGTGAGGACTTTTTGTCCTGTTGTTTCCATTAGGCAGAGTCTACTTTAAGTCCAAAGAAGTTGATAGATATGTATTATTTGTCATTCTTAGTGCCATCAATTTTATTCTAAGAGTTGTACAAAACTAAAAATAGTTTCTGGTTTGTATGACAGACTGGAAAAGACCCAGCTGTTGTAACCTATGAGTCATAACACAGGATAAAAATCTAAAATCATTTCAGGTAGCTTAAGTCCTTTGCAAACAATGAGATCTTGTACTTTATAAATTAAAGGTGGTGATTGAAAATCGGTGGTCTTAAGCTTTGCAGCCACAACGGACAATAAATATGCTACATCCAATAGTAGTCATCCAACACAGTCACGCACCTGAAAATGTCCTCTAGTGTTTGTATCTGGTATACATCACCAAGATAAATTTCCTAAAATATGTTTAAGGTTCTTAGTACTAGAAAAATATCGCGTGGGGAAAAAAGAAAGAACGATGAAGTCCTGTAAAAGCTGGAAGAAAGGAATCTGAGGAAAGGTCCCCACATAAAATAGCATATACCAAGGAATAATTTTAACCTTTCTTTGTTTTTAACAGAATCTCACCGAGTCCCTTTGTCAGCCAGTTATTAACTCCGTGAGGTATGGCATCGTACGCTGTATGTGGAGAGTAAATCCCGATTCTGTGCTCCAGGGCTCGGACCACCAGCCGTTCCTTCCAGGTCTTCCACGTTACTCGCTTGAGCGGCGTGAATATAGGAGGGTGGTAAGAAAGAATGAGGTCTGCCTTCTTTTGCACCGCCTCTTCCATCACCTCCTCAGTGAGATCGTTAGTAAGGAAAAGGGTGTTCACAGTGTGGGGAGGACTTGGTTCCACCAGCAACCCCACATTGTCCCAGCTTTCCGCCAGAGAGAGGGGTGCGAAGTCATTCAGGGCAGAAACGAGCTCCCTGAGGTCCATGAGGGCGCGGGCGGGCAGGCGGCCCAAAGCACGGATGCGGTGGAGAGGCCGGCGAAGCAGCGCCGTGCCAGGCAGCAGCATGCGACGACCTGAACGGGGAGGGGAAACAGGCCGGAACGAGCCTGGGTAACCCACTGGCCGGAACAGCAGCGGAGAGCGCTCGGGCTGCGGATGCCGCCCCGCGGCCGGGTCAGCGCGGCCCTGCACCCAAGGCGCGGAGCTGGAGCGTCATCCCCCTCCCCGCGGCACAGCAACACGCAGAGCTCGGCCACCGACCGTCCCTGCCTCGGCGGAGGGCAGCGGGTGGCACCGCACCCACCTCACGCAGGGAAGGGCCGGCGCTGCGGGGCGGGACCTGCGCTGGCCCCGCCGCTTCCGCCGCGCTCCGGGCGCTGGGGCGGCCCCTCCGCAGCGCCGGGCCGGGTGAGCGGCGGCCCCAGGCGGGAGACGAGCCGCTGCTTCCAGACGATCCGTCTGGATCCAGCCCCGGCAGGTTCAAGCATGCTCGCCCGTGGGCGGGGAGGGCCGGTGGAGGAGCTGGGTGGCGGCACCTCGGGTGGGCAGGGAAGGAGCCACAGCTCCGGGCTGTCGTGGGTGAGGGGGAGCCGAGGGCACGGGGGTTGCGGTGGGGACGCCGGAGCCGGCTGGTGGCAGCTTCCCCGGGGGTTCACCGGGGAGGGCGGGTATAGAGGAGAAATCGGCGCGTGAATCTCCTGATTTCTACACAGATGCGATTCTATTTCTGCCATTCTAAACGCTTTATTTTAAAATATTGCTAAGATTAAAAAAATCTGGTCCTGTGCTTGGATGCAGGTACCTGGCCGTTGCAGGTGCTTACAGCTGTCAGGAGCTGGCTCCAAAACACATTTCCACTAGGTACTGGCATGGGGCTTTTATCTGGTAATTTCTGCCATTTACTATTCTGCCAACTGTCATAATATTTGGAAAAACTGATTGCTTAGTATAAACTTTCATCCTAGGAAAGGGTGTTTTGCACCTTCACCCCTTTTCTCTAAGCTATCTTTTTGTCCTAATTTCTCCTTGTTTATATGGTGTGTAGTTGCTTAATGCAAGTAAAACTTATCCACAGTCACTTGAATGGCACTGTAGAACCGTGTGATGTAAAAGCATATAACCACACAAATATTTACAAATCAAAAAGAAGTCGGGGTTGGTGGGAAAAAACCCAAATGATTTCCTATGTTTTCTTTGCAGGAATTTGCTGTATAGAAAGCTGCCTCAGCTTTTTGATAAGCAGACATGGTGAGAACAAAAGCACTTTTTATATATTTTCATTCTTTCTGAAATGGTCAGCTCTTGGAAAGTGAATAGCTGCTCTGCATCTCAAAGGATTACACATATTACTCTGATGCTGTGAAGAATTTGTAATGAAAAGTTTAGGTTTTCATTTCAGACTCATAAGAATATATTGTGAAAAGGAAAACAGGTCCATTTACATCAATCTAAAATATAATTAAACTTTTACTTCAAAGATCCTAAAATTTAATCCTACTTTGGTATATATTTGATAATCTTGTTTGGTTTCTTTTACCACAGAAGCATTATTCGAGTTGCAAGCTCTGCTTCGGTGTATGTAAACTTATATACTTGCAGACTTTTAAAAGTTTAGCAAATCAGGAAATAGAGATAAGAGTGTACATATCTTAAACTGTACATACACCTTTTATAGCACCTTCATGGACACTGTGGCAGCTGTCTCCTCTCCTTTACCTGTATACTTTTGGAGTAGTATGCCAGTATCAACATAATGCTGATTTTGGTTATTTTTCCTTGCACTTTTCCCCACTGTAATTGTATCAGCATAGTTTAGCACTTTTCATGGGAGCACTGTGATATATTGGACCTACAGAGATATATGTGCTTAGGTGACCGGGTAACTGCGGTTTTAAATTTTATAAAGGTAATTTATAAATTCTTAGGAAAAGTATGTTATTTTGTACATTTGCTTGTTTGTGAAGGTAGATTATATACACTGCCATTTCGAACTAGCTTTATCACCCAGAAGGCTGCAGGCAAGTAACACACATCAGTTGCTCCTCTGGTTAAAAACGAGTGAGGTATGTGCACCACGCTCTCATCCAGATAGATATAACCTTGGTTCTTCACCTTTACAATTGCAAATGAATAATGTATTTCTGCAGTGTAACACCATAAAACAGCTTCTGCATTACCATGGCAAACTTGATTTGTCCTGAACCTGAATGAAACTGAGTGCTTTCTGGTGGTTTTACTGGAAATGTGGAAGGTTTGTGACAGTAGCCTTGCTTATGGCCAGATATTGAAGCAGTGGTTATATGCAGTGGGAACTTGCTTATGTTCTTTGTGAGACTGAGAAATAAAACTGAGTCTGTTAGTAGTTCATTGCTGATTTAATTATTTTCTGCTTTTTGCTCAGGCTGTCACGCTGCATACTGATGTAGGAGATATTAAAATTGAACTATTCTGTGAGCGTACTCCAAAGACTTGTGAAGTAAGTCAAATAACAGGAGCAGGATTGCCTAGTGTTGAAACAAAGCAGTAGCAATAGTGAAGACTGTAGAGGGGGTAGAGTGGCTTTTGCAATTCATCTTTCCACATAATGGAATACTGACATTTTAAGCTGGTACTGTGTCTGTTCCACTCATGGAACTTGTGCACTGTGTCATGCTCCCTAGGGTTTTGATGCCTGTTTCTCACTTGGTAAGGGTTAGCTAAGGGGCTCTTCCCTCAAAGTTCCAGCATCTTCCAAAGTCTCCTCTGCCCCCAAGGGGAAATGTGGCACATAGCATGGGATTCCCAAATTTCCATGGGTTTGCTCACACTCTCACAGGCTTGATTTTAGTTTAAAAGAGTGAGACTCCCAGTTTGTCAGAGTTCTCCTTTCTGCAGTAAAGAACTCCCAGGTTCTCCTTTCTGCAATAAACTTAAATTGAATTAATTTATTTTTTAATGAAAAAGCTGAGGCATAAAGTTAATAATTACAGAATTACATGTACAAAATAAAAATGTTGAATGGCAGTGATACTTTAGAGCATATCTCAGGCTTTTTGTTTGTTCCTCAAGTCAGACAACCTTACACTGTAACCTTTAAAATTCTTTGTATGTGTGACAGTGTCAAAGGAGTTTATTAACTATGATTTGTTTGTAACTGTTCTGTGGCAATACTCTGTATTCACATGGTCACAATGCAAAGCAGGGGTGAAAGCATTGGTCTTGCCAATTCTGTCATTTTAGTAAGACAATACTATTTTTCAGTTGTTTGTTAATATGGTTTGTTTGATTTCCATAGAATTTCCTGGCTCTTTGTGCTAGTAACTACTACAATGGATGCGTATTTCACCGAAATATAAAGGGCTTCATGGTTCAGACAGGGGATCCATTAGGTAAATTCTTCTGTCTGGGTCTCTCTATAGAAAAATGTACATAAAAATAAAATGTCAAGATATAAAATTCTAAGTATTAATATTAAACCCAAAATGTAAGTAAATAAAAATAAAATATAAGAATTATTGCATTGGTGATGGAGGTTTTAATGCTGAGATTAGTTTTCTTTGGTGGGCTTACAGAAGTGCAGTCATTACTCTAGTTTTAAATAATCATGCATTCTACAAACTTGAGTTTTTCCAGCTGTTTCCACTAAATATGATGGATCTGTTGACTTACCAGCTGTTGAACGAGAAGCAGTTGCTACTGTTCTTTATCTGGTTTCTGCTTGAAAGGCTACACTGCCTCTGAAGCATTTGGGGAAAATGTCCCAGACAGTGGCAGCTGTTGGGGAGAAAATCTGATTCAGCTTTACATCTGTTTGTACTCACACTGAATTTAATTTGAGGATATGTCAGTGTTTTGCTCTGCTACTTAATAGGTGTTCTTTATATAAACTTAAGTCTCCGTGCAGTGTTAAGAAACAAGAACTTGATCCCTGCCTCAAACTAATTACAGCCTATCTAGGGTCTTTGTATTAAAATGTCATAACAGAACATAATTTCTGGATTTTTCAGTCTGAAAATCTGGTAATCTCTACTGTGGTGCTTCTTTGTCAGGCACTGGGAAAGGAGGTAACAGCATCTGGGGCAAGAAGTTTGAAGATGAATTCAGTGAATACCTAAAGGTATTTCTGTGCTCTCAATATGCAGTTATGTTTTCATATGAATTTTCTTTACAAGTTGGAGAACAATCAGCATTGTGTTGTACTGTATGAAACACCTCTTTTGTAATTGTGAAACAAATAAAGGATGGAAAGCTTAGTATTATTAAAATAGGAACAGGCATTTCTGTGCTTGGCAAGTTAGGTTTGAGCGTTTTCATCACTGAAAACAAAATTACAAAGAATTTGTTACAGTGTTTTTCATGCACTAAAGGGAAAGTAATTTTTCATTCTAAGAGCGGTTTTAAAGAGCTAATTATGAATTGGGATAGAATATATTAGCAACCAAGATTTCTTCTTAATGGTATTGAGGCAGAGCTCTAGGTCACAGAGCACTTTGTAGAGGTTAGTCCTGCTCTCAGAGATGTGTGTTCACGTTGAGGTTTCTCCCCTTGTTCAGCACAGTGTCCGTGGGGTAGTTTCAATGGCAAACAATGGTCCGAACACCAATGGATCCCAGTTCTTCATCACTTACGGCAAACAACCGCACCTGGACATGAAGTACACGGTGTTTGGAAAGTAAGGATCCAACTGCTCGCCTCTTTGTCAGTGTGTGCGAAGGATCTGAGTATTTCAGGGCACATGCAATGCAAATTCAGAAGCTTCTGGTTATAAGGATGTGTGTATGTACATGTATGCTCTTGCACTGTCACCAGAATTAGTTGCTCCAAAATGCTGTTACCTTTTTCTTAGTATTAGGGAACTCAGTGGAAACAGGCATATTAAAAATTACCTCAAGAATGTAGATTTTCTTTCTTTCTTTCTTTCCCTCCCCCACTAGTTATTCCAGCTTGGCTTTTCATCCATTCCCAAATGGATGCAGCCTGATTTTAAGCCAACTCCAGAACATCTGGATATACAGTTGTAGGGTTTACTGAGAACCAAGAATCTGATTTGGGACTGGATCTGGGGATGGGTGTGGTACTGACTTGGTCGTGCTTCTGTTTAGATGAGACTTCCTGTTGGTCAGATAAAACTCATGGAACTGACAGTTAATAAAATCAGCTGAGCTTGTTGCATCATTATTTTAAAATATACTTATGATGTTAATAAACGTTACTGATAAATTATCATATTCTAAGCAAATATCTAAAATGTTTGAGTCTTTTTCTCTTTCAGAATCGTGGTAATGTCTTTTGTTTGTTGTTGAAGTCTCTAGCATACAAGTGAATCTGCTGAGAAAATGCAGCCTTATTAAGTGCAGTTAAATATTCAAAAAACTGTGGAATGTGAAAATACTTATTTTCTACCATTTGTATTGTTTGTAGGCATCTAACTATAGGTGCTCCTTTCATTTCTGACTTTGTTTAGAAGTATAATTGAAAGTAGGGTTTTTTAGATTTTTTTTTTTAGAAAAAAATTAGAGACTGTACTCCTGCCTCAGCTGCAGAACCATCAGAACAGCACATACAGTCAGTCCCTGCAGGCCCACAATCCACTGCAATGTGGATTTGAAGAGCTCATGAAGGTGATTGAGTGGAACAGCACAATGTGTTTTCTTCTAAGTCTGTTTCTGGGGAATAAACTGCCAAGATTTACCAGAACTAGTTGCTTAAACAAAAAAAGTATGAGGTTTTAGTAGAAAAATCTCTCTTGCCAGTTCTTCAGCCTGAGCAGGAAATCTGTGCCATTAGATTTACAACAGTTGTTAATGATTCTGTCCAATCTTGTCTTTGAGTCAGAAGGTTAGAAATTATAATCTCAGGTTTGAATATTGATTTTCCAGACGTAAGATTTCAATAATTCTGACTGAAGTTTGCTAGGGCCAGTATCTTGCTGCTACCTAAGCCTATGCTGTGTTGGTCAGTCCTGCCTGTCAGGAATTGCAGCCAGGAACTTCATACAGCTGTGGTTGGTATAAAATATGATACTGTCAGGTCAACAGGAATTATTTGTACTTTTTGCAGAATCTGTCATGGATGCTTCATATTTCCTTTCAAAGCACATTATTTGCCACATACAGTGTTTTGGCTGTCTTATTTGTATCATTTGCTTGCAAAGTCCTTGCCCTATGATACTTAACTGTAAAGTGTTTTGAAATATCTCAATTGTGAAATTTAAATTATTATTAGGAGGAGATTTCTAGCACTTCTGTTTTTCTTGCAGAGTTATTGATGGCTTGGAGACCCTGGATGAGCTGGAGAAGCTGCCTGTTAATGAGAAAACCTACCGACCTCTTAATGATGTTCGTATTAAAGATATTACAATCCATGCCAACCCTTTTGCTCTGTAGCCACAGAGGCCTCAACACATTCTTTAGAGACTGGTCAGACCAACTCCCAGATCATGGGGTTTAAGGAGCCATTAAAAAGGGTTACTTGAGCTGGATCAAGTAAGTTTGCTCACTGAATGCATAATTTTCAGGAGCTGTGACATTGTTTTGGAGTTGTCAAAGAGAAATCTTGTGCTTCAGAAGCAGGGTTTTCCAGAGTATCAGCCAGGATTTTGATTTTTAAACGTTGCTTTTTATACTTGTAAAATAAAAAAAAAACTTTTAAAGTATTTTTGCAAATCTTTGAGTTTTGCCTTATCTTTCTTAGTGATTCTATGTTAAAACAATGTTCTTTGCTATAATTTCATGCTACCAGTTTTCTGAAACTTTCTCACGTAAATTCTAACCTTCATTACTCAGTTTTCTCAAAAGAGTAAAGTAAGATATGCAATTTTCTAGGTGAGAGCAATGTCATAAATCGATGAAACCTTTCTCTCGCAGAGGATTAAAGAACATACTTAGAGGAGTGCTTGCTCTTGTACTGCTGTGTTGAAATGGCAACCTCTTCAACCTCCCAAAAAGGTAGATGGAAAACAGTTTCTTCTGCTTCTGGCACAGTGCTATAGGTATGAAAGGTATTTCTGTTAATATGTATGAAAGAGTAAGTATTTTCTTTACATAGCCATTAATTGAAACAAGGCAACATGGATTTAGTGTAACTGTTTTTCATCACTTTTTGTACTGCACAAGCAGTAGGGGTGCGGTGGGTCGACTGTGGCTGGATGCCAGGTGCCCTTCCCAGCCGGACAGAGCAGGGAGTAAGATGGAAAACAACTCGTGGGTTGGGATATGGCAGTTTATTAAGGCAAAAGCAAAGCAGAAGCTTGCGTGCACAAAAGCAAAGCAAAAAATAACAAGGTTTATTCTCTACTTCCCATGAGCAGCGATGTCCAGCTGCTTCCAAGAAGCAGGGCAGGCAGCCACTGGAGACAATTAATACCCCCTCTCCCTTTTCCCTCCCAGGAAAAGGAAACAAACCCACTATATCCTTGCCTTAGCTTTTATATCTGAGCTGATGTCATGTGGTATGGAATATCCCCTTTGGTCAGTTTGGGTCAGCTGGCCTACTTATGTTCTCTCCCGGAATCTTGCCCTCAACTGGTGAAGGAATGTTACAGTGCTGATGCTGTGCTCAGCAGTAGCCAAAACACCAGTGTGTTATCAACACCCTTCTGGCTCCCAATGCAAAGCACAGCACTGTGAGGGAAATGAACTGCTGTGGGGAAATGAACTCCAGCTCAGGCAGACCCAATACAAGGGGGTAAACAAAGAGCAGTGTCAAAAAGGCTGTGGTCAGATGAGGTTGAACAAGGAAGAGAGAGCTGTTGTTTGGTCTTAGCTGAGACCACTTGCTATTGGACTCAAATAAAATCTGCAAGAAGGAACAGACATTTCTAAATATTGACTGGTCAAACGAAAACTATAGTACATGCATGTGTATGAGCGTGTATTTGTGTATATTGCTGATCCTATGCTCAAAACAAAATAACTTGACTTAAGCAGGAAAAGAGCAATTTGTATACATCAAAAAAGAAATCTCCACCTTGGGCATACTGGGAAAAGCAAAATGTTCTGCTCTTCTTTGTTGTAGTTATAAAATTAAATTTTAGCATCAGTTTAATTTCATAAAGCTGGAAAAAATCAACTTTGCACAGAGGTGCACTTTCAGATTCTGTAGAGGTGAGAGGGTTTATTTCTAGTTCCAACTGTGCATAAGAGACCTGGATAGGAAAGAGTACTCGCAGTTCCTGCGTCCTACTCCTACCATTTTGGACTTCTTCCCCCAGTTCTCTTTACACTCAGTTAACATCCCTTAGCAAAGCTCAGTCTCATATATATGCTTTGTAATCCTTGAGAGGCCCAGGCCAGCTCACTTGCAGTCTGCTTCAGACCATTATTTCTCATTTTGAGACTTTGCCCATTAAAATAACGAGGAAAACTTACTTGCAAGAGAAAGGCAAAGGTGCAGGTTACTGAGGCGTTAATGAGCAGAGTTAATCAGTGCCCTCTCTCTGGGACAAAGTTTCTGTATTCTTTATGGAGTGTTGCTTAAGATCCCAGCCCTTGCTCCAGAGTGTATATACTGTGTGTATATATACATATATATGTATGTATATGTACTGTGTATATACTGTAATACTTCAGTCAGTCAGGTAAAGGATTTAATTTTAGCTCCATGTTCTATCTCTTCCCTATAACCTGTGGCAATAGCAAGTAGACAGAACCATGCAAGTGCATGTTTGACTGACACTTACTGCCATGCAGAAGGAAGGACACGCTGAGAAATTTCCTACCTTGCAAAGGAACCAATAATCTAAAATGCTGACATCTAGCACCAAACTGGAAAAAAAATTTTTTTTAGAGTTTTTAGATTTTTTTTTTTTTATCTAATGCTGTGTATTGAAAGAAGAGTGATCCTTTTGGGACAGAATTACATCCAAACTTTTCAGAATTGTATTATGTCTGTTTTCCTATTTGTGGCTCTGAACCTCTCCCAGGTTTCCCAGGTTCTCCCTGAGAACTTGGAATTCAAAATGAAAAATAAGGGTGGGGTTGGTCCCAGCCACCTGTTGAAGAAAAGGCAAGACAGAGGAGGAAATAGCCCAGTGGTGGCAGTGTGTGGTTCTGTGGGTTGCTGGGTACAGCATACATGCAGTTCAGTTCTTGTACACAGTCCACTGATGTGTCCCCAGCTGTTTGACTTTTGTGACAGGTATAATCCTTTAGATAGCAGAAATAGCAGACAGTACTATTACTGTAGTCCACTTGTGCTTTATAAACTCTGTTTGCTTCCTTCAGTCTGGTCCTTTATCACAAACACTACAGCCACAAGATGAGTTCTGCTGAAATGTCTACTCATTTAAAGAAAATATAACTGTGACGGAGGGTCTCATCATGTATATTCTAGATTATCTCTGACCTTTGGTGCCATTAGAAAAGCAATAGGTAAAGCTGGTGTTAGTAGTGGGTCATGCTGGGAGTAGAACTCAGTCTAAGCTGGAGAGCAGTGAACAAGAAGAAAATAATGGTGCATTGTTTTTGAACAGTGACAAACTTACATGTGTAATGTATGTATTGTAAGTTGATCACAGGGGCAATTGGAGAAGTAAATGACCCTCCTTGCTCTTTGTATTTTTTTTTTAATTTACCGGGTGTGGAAGTATTTCAGAAGGTTTAGTCCTTCTCAGAATAAAAATAAATAAATAAATAAATTGGGTTTTAGGGAAGTGATGTGTATAAGCTATTGTAGTGTTTCAGGACTGTTTTATCCTTAGGTGCTCTGTTTCCCCATAAATTAGATTACACTTGAGCTGTTTGACTGCTTATTATGGGTTTTTCAACGCCAAATTTCAGGCACAGTGCTTGGTTCGCTCTGCTGAGGTGCCCGATCGATGGCTGAGGGGCTGAGAGCGCTGGGCCTGCGCTGCCGTGTGTGCAGTGACAGCAGCAGGGGAAGCCAGGGCTAGTTTGATGTTCCCCTCCGGACTGGAAAACATGATTCAGAGCTAGTCAAAGATACCACATGGCATAAGAAGAAAAAAAAAAAAAAGAAAAGAAAGAAAGGAGGATTCAACTCTTCAGGAAAGTTTTTTCTTATGCCAGTGATTTGCGAAGACATCTTTGTTAGTCGTATGTGCTCCGTTAAACCCCTGCTGATTTAAAGCTGACTGGGTACATGCATATGCTTTGACAACCACTAACAAAGCGTAAAAAAAAGTTAAGAGACAATTAACAGCTTTATCACGACGGGTGAAAAATGACCATTTCGCAACTCCGAGTCTCCCCTTCACCCGTCGGCCGCCGCCATGTTCTCTCTGCGCTTTCTCCGGGAGGGGAGAAAATGGCCTCGGCCGCTCTGACAGGGGAGGCTGCAGCCCTTCCCCGTGCCCCGGCTCGGCCCGAGCGCGGAGCCTCTGGAGCGGGGGTTCGGGGGCCCGACCCCCCGCAGTCCCCCTGGCCGGGAGCGGGAGCAGCCCCGCTCCGCCCTGCAGCCCTGCGGCGCCGCGGCGGAGCCCGGCGGGGGCGGCCTGAGGCGTGGCCTGGGCGCGGGAATCAGTTGACTCTTGGAAAGGGAAATAAAAGACGGGTAGCGAATGAGTTCGCTTTTCCTCTGGGAGCTGGGAGATAATCGGGGTTTTATTGTCATTCTGACTTAGCATCAGTAGTTCTTCGGGAATCTGTAGAAGCAATTCCTTTAAGTCTTCAAAAACCCAGTGGGCAGTAACTCTGTGCCCGTGTTAACTACACAGAAGCCTTTCTTTCTCTAGGGTGTGCAGCATTGGGAACCTGAGCAGCTTTGCAGAAGTGTTGAGTGTCTGAGTCACGATGCGTCTTTAAAAAGTCTTTTTTTTAAGGAGTAGGTTACTGGTTTATGTTCCCCAACCAAAAACAGTTAATTTGAAAAAGCTCTTGAATAAAAAAATAATGTAGAGGGAAGAGCAGAGGAAAAAACACGGAAATTGGGGATTGAGGAAAAATGCAATCTTTATTATACTGTAAATTTGATGATCAATGGCTTTGAAAGTGAATCGTTTGTCTGTGGGATGTAATTCAAAGAGTAAAATATCTTTGTTACAGCTGGGGAATTGCAGGCGAACTAACTGGCCTGACTGGGATAAAAGAAAAAGACCACTTTGGAGAAGCTGCTACAATGCTGAGAAAGAAAGGGCCCACCGTTCAGAAGAAAAAGTGAGCACAGGAGAAAAAGTGCTGCAAACTTGATCTTTCTGAAACTCGTGACAGGTAAATAGCTTTTGAACTTCTGATATCAGCAAGCATGTGTTTCAAGATTTTATTATTCTCGTCAGGTGATCTGATAATGGATTAACTTTGAGTCGGAGGTATTTCAAGAGAGATGTCTTACAGCTTAAAACAAAAAGCTGTCTTTGTAGGGGCAGTGGATGATTTTAATTACATTTACTGGATCATTTTTTTGTAGTAGTGATTCAGACACCGAATCTGTAAATGAGAGAGGCTGTCATCCAAAACGCAATTTTGAAGGATGCAGTCACGAGTTCAAGCAAGGATGTGACACTGGACATCAGAGTAGCCAGAGATCTGGTCTTAATGTGACAGTTGGTAGCAAAAGGAAACAAAAGACATATTATACTAGTTGTCATCCTCATCCTCCGCAGGTGATATGACCAATTTTAATTTAGCTTGTTGTTTTTTGGTTTTGTTTTTTTTTTTTTACTTTTAAGAAGATAGGTTCTCATCTGGGCAGTAGTAATTGAGTGTGGGAGGTTGGGAAATTCTGTTGGTAATAGTTTATTCCTTTAGATCATATTAGTAGCTTATTCTTTTTTGCTAGGATTGTATTTCCTTCAGTGAAAATATCTAGTTTGTACATATGCTTGTAATACCACTGAATATGGTCTTGCTATTTGTTCACTGAATATATTTGAGCAATTAATGAAGAATAACCATCTGTTGGAGTACTTGAAATACAGGCATCACTTTTGTGACTTCAAATCTTTTATTATTACAAGCATTTATTTAAGCCCTACTCGAAAATCCAAGGACAAGTTTCTAAACTTGATTTTGACTAAGTATCACTGAAATAGAGAGGTTGTAATGCCAGATTTACTTTTCTAAGTATCAGTGAGAAATGTGTAGAATCGGATATGAATGATGTCCATCCACCAGGAGGGTGGTTTTTCTGATCTTTGTTTTATATTTAACTGTTAAAGCTGAAGATTGGAATTATAAGTTAAGATCTTCAGCCAAGACAGCACAAAGTAAATGTATATGGTATTTATGATTAAAAAAAATAACTTCTTGCCAAATACTCGTACAAGTGATTTAATTTTGATTGCTTAAGATGGGTATTTTAATTTTGCCACAAGGTTATTTTATATATATATATATATGTTTGTGTAAAAGATAATTATTAAATCTCTTTGGTTTAAGAAAAAAATAGGGGCCCTGAAATAATGAAGTAAAATTCAGTGAACCAGTCTTTTTAAAAGAAAAACAATTGTAATTTTTCATTGCCTTGCTACTCTGAGTTTCATCTGAAAATCTGTTCCTTGCCATGTTTTTCTCCTGTAACATTAACTATGTGCCCTGTGAATTTCTGGGGACTGACTTTGAAATTGTTCCTGTCATCTGTTTGTGGCCTGGTGTGTATCTGAATGCCTGAGTATTTCCCTGCTGAATAAATTGTGTATTCTGACCTGAATTCACTTGGGTGGGCTGCATGATTGTGGTGCCATTTGGAAAGATCCAGGAGTGCAGAACATAATGCAGAGTCACCTGATCTGTCAGAGAGGAGCCTACTAAGTGCAAGATGTAGAGAATATTTTTCAAAATTTCTGAACTCTATGATAGATGTGGTGGGTTGACCCTGTCTGGGTGCAGGTGGCCACCAAAGCCTCTCCATCAGTCCCCTCTGCAACCAGACTGGGGAGAGAAAATGTACCAAAAGGTTCTTGAATTTGAGGGAGGACAGGGAGAGATCACTCACCAGTTACAATCATTGGTGAAAAAGACTCAACTCTGGGATATCAACTGAATTTATTACCAGTCAAAATCAGAGCACGATAATGAGAGGTAAAATCTTAAAAGCAACTTTCCCCCACCCCTTCCTCCTTCCTGGGCTCTACGTCCTGCCAGGACCCTGCTCCAGCACAGGCCTCCCATGGAATCACAGCCTTATTTTAGGCATCTATCCACTCCAGTGTGCATCTCCTCCATGGGCTGCAGGTGGAATCTCTGCACCCTTGTGGTCCTTCATGGGCTGCAGGGGCACAGCTGCCTCCCCATGGGCTGTACCATGGGCTGCAGGGGAACCTCAGCTCCAGTGGCTGGAGCACCTCCTTCCCCTCCTTCTCCACTGACCTTGGTGTCTGCAGGGCTGCTCCTCTCACATATTATCACTCCTCTCTTCTCTGAGTGTAATTATATCTGTGCAATAATTTTTTTCCTTCTTAAATGTTATCCCAGAGGAGTTACTGTCATCTCTGGCTCAGCCTTGGCCAATGGCAGTCCATCTTTGAGCCACTTGGCATTGGCTCTGTCAGACATGGGGGAAGCTTCTGGCAGCTTCTCACAGAATCCACCCCTGTAGTCCCCCCAGCTACTAAAACCTGGCCACAGAAACCCAATGCAAAAAATTCTTCTAGCATAAGATGTGAGGAGCTTTGGAAGTCTTCTCTTTCCATCCTTTTTTTTGTTGTTTAGGGGTGGGGATTGTTACTCTTTTTCTGTAAAACTTGAGTACATTACTTGTTTATTTTTTCCTTTTTGCCTGTTAAATATGCTTTGATGAGAGTTGTCCAATAACAGCAACAATAACAATTGTAAACCGGGTAATTACAATTTAAAGAAGCACAGTCTAGAACAGCTTCAGTGGTAGTACTTATATCTATTTTTGTTTGATTCATTTTTTTAATAGCTGAATAACTTCACAGCTTATGACTGAGAATTTTTTCCTTTATAGATGAGATTGTTGCTGTTTTGGGTGAAGGTACTTCCAGAGTAGTGGAATGCATCAATCACAAAGTGTAAGTCTTTCATTAAATACGTGTAATTTTTCTTATTGATCTTGTCACAGTGGGGTTCATAAAGTGCTTGCTGATTGCATCAGGTTTTATCTTTACATCTTTGTAGGCTGTTAAGTATTTCTTTATGGCTGCCACAGTTCCCAAACACTAATTATGTTACTACAACATGCTGAAAGCAGCACTTAGACAGCAGAGCTGTGCAGGACTGGAGGCTGAGGCCTGTTGGGAGGATGAGGGCTGATGGAGGTAGGTGACCAGGACAATGTGGGGTGAAGCTGCACCCCTACACTGGGCAATCCTGGGGCCTGGACCACCCCAGGCCTGTGTAATGAGGAAGCTGTCTGGCACCATGTAGCTAACTAACTTAAAGCTTAGCCTGTGGTGATGCAATGCTTTTTGCATTCTGTCAGTGAGTCTGTTGCAAATCAGGAATGTATTTTGTGTTTTATGGCAGTTTTACTATGTGCAAGGTATTAGGCAACAAGATTGTCTTTCTAGCCACTGTAGAAGGCACTTGAAACCTCAGTTAACATTTTTACTACTTAAGGACTGAAGAAGGCTGGTCACTTTTGACTGACAGTTGTGTAAGGCTGTGAGATGTGGAAGTTCCTCCAGTATTAGCCCAACATACCTAATTACAGTGGGGAAGTAGGTGGGACTTCTAACCTCTGAGAACAATACTGATATATACGGGATCAAGTATGTTTTCAGAATTTAAATATGAAATTTTAGTTGTATTTATGCATAGATGAACTTTGGTTATGCTGTCAGCATGTAGTAAAAAAAACCCTCAACCTTTTCTGGTAAGGTTGCCATTGTTATAAACAATGTATATCTGAATATTCTTAGTTAAAACTAATCACTGTTATAATCACTGTTCCACCGGTCTCTTCAGAAGAGGCAAACTTGTAGCTGTGAAAAGTAAAAAAGATGGTAGCTGCAGCTTAGGAAGTCCTAGTACTGGAATATTTACAGGGACTGGGTCCCAGCAGTACACTATGATTATACAAAACCACCTTTTACTTTGTTTCAGCTTTACAATTTCTGTGACCTCACTTTCTGTAACATGGGAAATGCATGTCTCAGTGCTAATACAGCTGTTGCAAATCATGTCTTGTTCCTGCCTTTGTAGTCACTGTGCCCAGATGTTGGAATGGTTTGAGCACCACAGACAATATATGCATTGTTTCTGAGCTCATGGGACTCAGCACCTTTGACTTGCATTGAAGAGAATGCTCTCTGCCATTTAAGCTGGATCACTTTAGACAGATGGCATATCAGACCTGCAGATCTGTGAACTGTAAGGATGCTTCCTTTTTGCTTTATTTGTTATGTGAATAAAAACGTCTCTTGATTTCCTTTCAGAGGTGTGGCAAAAAAACACCTGGCAATGATGAAGCAAATGCTGCAGCCATTGCTGTATCACATGATAAAAGAAAAGCTGGATTGCTACAGTTTAAATATTTTCAGATTAGATTTAAGAGCAAACTTTTTAAAAAAAAGTTTAATAACCATGGCATCATCCTTTTGCTGTATTTAACAAGCTGGCCACTCTTGTGGAATATTCCCAGATCAATTCCCAGGTTATGAGCAAACAACTGGTAAACTTCTACTGAAGGGACAACACAGAATTTTGAATAACAGGCTACGTTCTGTTTGTAGGGAAACACAGATGTTTCTGTGCTGGCCAGCTGGCTTGGGATGAACAGAGTCCTGCAGGCATATACATATCAACACACTGTAAGCCACTGAAGGTGAGACAGGGGAAATGCTTTTGTGGAGAGGAGCTTCAAGTGCAATTATAAGATAAGCAACAGAACATCTTGAATTTTCATGAATGAATTCATAATGATGTGCCAGGATTCTGATCACAAAGAATCTCTTTGGCCTTGTTCAGAAGACACTGGAGTATGACCCGAACAACCACACTTCTCTTAAACAAGCACTGCAGCAGCCTCTCTTCTCTCTCTTCTGCCCAGACATGCAGAAAAAGGGTGCAGGCTCCTGAAGCCAAGCAGGCTGACTCATAGGGCAGTGCACCAAAGAACCGGAATGCCATTGACTACTTATTACTTGGTTATTTTGTAAATACTTTATGTTGTAAATGCTTTACTTAGTAGTATGACTTTTTGGATACTTAAATTCAATCCAGCTGCTGACATCGAACTTATTTAGTATATTGATGAACCTGATTATGTTTTCTCATTAAATCAAACTTGTGGGACACTGGCACTTTTAACATATGGAAAAGAGCACCCTAACACCAAGGAAGTATTATTGTAATTATGTTTTATTCTATGGTCCTTGAAATAGCAGAAGACCTGCTTTTTACCCTTTAGTGTCACTGTTGTTTTCTTTTTGGATAAGGAGCAGAGATATCCCTTGACATTAAGTGTAAGGATGGCCTTTATTTGCTTTAAAAAAAAAAAGTTACAAAGTAAGGAAGATCACTGTAGTATTGAACAGATTGCATTGTGATGACCAATTTTTTCATTATTTTATTAGGTGTACTCTGGTTACCAGTATTTCAGTTAATGCTCACTTAGCTTACAACAGTATAGACTTCACTCTTTGACCCAGTCTTTCTGAATTGAACTGTCCTGAGAATTTCCATTAGGAATTAAAGTTTCAGGGAGCAGATAAGCAGTTTGGTTTAGCATGTCAACTGCCAGCATAAAATAATCTTTGAACTTTGAGGGGTGGAGTTTTGGCCATCTTAGCTTCCAGCAGCCATGCATTTACAGAGCAGCACAAAGAAGCTGCCCCCCCAGCCAGCAGCATAGCCCGGCTCGAGAAAGCTGTATATGGGACAGCACTGCTTGTACTTCCATGAGGGAAGGGGAAAGGAGCCCCCAGAACTGATGCTCAGCCACAAGGGCACCTGACAGCCCCTCAGGAACACAGGCCACCAGCTGTGACAGCCAGCAGGCTCAGAGGTGCCACTCTTCATGTCCTACACAGTTAGCAGTCACTGCCACCACAACAGCCTGCAGGAGTGGGGCACCCACCTCACCCCACAGTTGGAATAGAGGATTGCTTTATGCTGGAAGTCTAGTAAAGGGATGACAAAGTACTTGGGAACATGGACAGCCACTGATGAAAGGGGCTATTTGGAGTAAGTGTTACAGACTGCAGTGCCACACAAGCCATGGTTGATTCACTTGGAGACTTTTTACAGTTTAATCTGCAAGCAGAACTGCCCTGTCTTATTCACCATATCACATCTACTCCAATACAGACAGAAATCCCAAGGGGTAAGGTGGATTTCACTGTGGAAGGCTTTAAATGATAGTATTACAGTAGAAAATACAGGAGGTAGAAGGTAACTGAAAGGACAAATGCAGGTTAGAGTCAAATCTATAACAGCTCCAGTAAGCTACTTGAACATGGTTTTAAAAACTAAATCCAGTATTTCAATAACTATAGAAAACAGTTAAAATAAATTGCCATGAGAGCCCTTATATCATGCTTGATACAGGGAGGTAGGATGTAAGAATCAGAAGGACACATGAGACATGACACTTATCTACAGCTCCTGTTTGCTTTACTGAGGACAGAGTTTCTCAGGTCAGTCACCTTCTTCAGCTTCAGACTCCGACTCTGCAACAGAGACACCTTGTCAGCAGCCTGCCCACAGGTCAGCCCCCAGCCCTGAGCTCACTGCTGCCCTGCATCCTGCATAAAAGCTGCTGTTGGATCCACATGGATTTCACAGGCAAGCTTTTTTAGCCAGTACCAGGGTAGGGGGCACTCTTGTCTTAGGGAGGCAATTTAACATCCCCACCCTTAGCCACACAGTGTTATTGCACAAGGGTTCCCAAAATGAACAAGCTCTGCTTGTGAGCTAAGCTGCTGCTCACCTTCTTCAGCATTCTTGAGCCATTCAACAAACTTTTTCATCTGTTCCAGAAAAACACTCTTTCCTTTAGCAAGATGTGCATCTTTGTACCACTTCAAGATGGGTTCTTCACTCAGAACTTCAGCTGTAAGATGTGCAAGAGCAGTGAGAACCCCCGACTGCCAGCCTTTGCTTTCCCCCCCCTAGAAGCATCACATGCTCCTTCTGTGGGTACGGCTGGACAGAGCTGCACTAGGAGAGGCTCCTGTTTTAAAATTCTGAGAGCTGTGCATTTTGGATTGGCTGCTGGGATTTTCCTGAGTACTGCATCTAGGGGCCGCACTTTCGCTCCCACTAACAGTCTGGGGGGTATTTCAGAGTTATCTGAGATGGCACACACTGAGGATTTCAGTTAACAGCTAAGAACAGATACAAATTCTTTAAAGTCAAAAGTACACCACAGAAAGTGTTTAGCTGTTTTTAAAATGTTAGGATATAATTTTCAGTTTAACAAGTCTCCGCAGCTGCACAGCATGTTTTTCAGTAACACCTTTTATCAGACATTAAAAAGAGAGCTTACAACACCCCAGAACATGGTGGTGGTCTCCATCTATGGCTGTTCACAGTCAATGTTAAGAGCACTAAGAAGAATACAGTCATGTATCTTTCCCTAACTTAAAAGGGACAAAGTGCCTTAAAATCAAAATTTAGCTTTGAACTATTACAACTCTTGAATAGATCTACAGTAGACAGGCAGCATCTTTGTCTGGAGGTGTACTTCCCCATGTCCCAAGGACCAGCCACATGCACCTTTGCATTTTACTGCTCCATTTTTGCAAACAGAAGGTAGAAAATTCTTCAGCTCATGAAGCGCAGTGTTGTAACACTGATCTTCCCTAAAGGACTTAACTAGGACTGAAGCATTCTGCTTCAGAAGTTCCAAAACGCCCAATCAACCAAAACAACCCCTCAAAAACCCCACAAAACTACAACCCCGCAGAAGTTACCTTTATAGAAGAGCACCACTATTTTCTGGAAGGCCTTCATGAAGTGAATGTTGTCATAACAATACTCCTGAATCTTCAACAGAAGAGTCAGCTCTGACTGACCTTGGGTGGTGAAGGCAGCAAGTAGAGGGCTGTATTGCTGTAACAAGAACAACAAATTGGCACATGCAAACACTTCACGTGTACCGCCTGACTAGGCTGGTTTCACAGTCTCCATCAGCCACTGCTTATGAAATCTGCAACCACTGCCCCACCCCAGAGTGCTCCTGCAGCAGCCATGCTGCCTCTGCCCCAGGAACCTGGCCTGTAATACTCCCTGCAATACAAGAGAAAGAATTCCCCATCTAATGCTGTCTCTGCATTAGCAGGGTTGGTACAAGGCTTTAACACTTAAAAAGGAGCTCAAGACAGAAGGAAGCACAAGCCCTACCCAAGGGGTGCAGAATTCCATAGTGAAGTTACAATACCTTCAAATGCTTAATGGCTTGCTCTGCTACCAGCTCCTCCTTTTTGTTCCATTCCACCGTGCTCATTACACTTGACCAGATTATGGCTACCACAGTCTGTTCCGAGATGTTGTTTTTCTTCATCTCCTCCTTCACGTACAAGATGATCTGCCAGTTAAGTAAGAGTCAGCACAAAGACCACATATGGCACTAAGCTAAATTAAAACTTCTGTTCTGAAGGCAACCCAGAAGGTTTCAGAACCACACACAACCTCCTTCATCATACAGCAGAATTCAAGACATTAAGGAAAGGCTACAAAGCTAATACCAAAATCCCCTGGTCCTAATTTTAATTCCTGGTGAGAGCTAAGTTCGGTATGAGAGACAGACACACACACACAGAAAGCACCTCCACCTCATCTCCAGACAAATACTTACATCCTTGAAGGGATCTCCCCGCGACATCTGCTCCTGCAGTTCTTTCTGCAGCTCCTTCCGAGCTCCTATGGATTGCTGGTTCCGAACATACTCAGAAAGTTCTTTTAGTCCTGCTTCAGTGAAGTACTTAGAGAAGTGTTCAACACTTTGTTTGTTGGCTGGAAAGAGTTCCTGAAAACAAAGTTTACAACCTTTTTGTGAAAGAAATGTGTGTTGAGTACCTTGCTGGCAAATGCTATTTTACTAAACTGGCTTAAGAAGCAGTAGGAGAGTAATTTCAGTGGTACTCACCATCAGTCTATTATCCATGTTTACTTTGCGAAGACTGACAGCCACTGCATTAATATCTTTCTCATTTATCCATGATTTGAACAGCTTGACTGCAAAAGCTGCAGAAACACCTGTGCAATAAGGACAGTACAGTTTTTAGTGACAGTACTAAAAACAAAAAACAAAGGGAATCATCATAAGGCCCAAGTTAAGGGCACCTGGTATGTCAGACCCCTGCTCAGAGCAGCAGCAGCTGTGCTCCCAACAACCCTAGCACAGTCTGCAGAACCCCTCCCTGCCTGAGGATACTGCAGCCTCCAGCACACTGGACTTCTCTTACCATTCAGCGACATGAAGTCTTCCCTGTACT